TTCACCCCCAGACTCCAGGCTCATGCCTGTTCAGAAAGCCGGAGAAAATTAATCCCATGCTGCATCCTAGACAGCGTCAAAATTTATTATTGTATGGACAGTGTGCCCTTAAATCATGCCTTATCCACACAGGAGGCCACATCCATGCTCGCTAGGTGGACTATAAATCACAGGGGGAAGGTCTGTTATCATTACTTTACAAACTAAGCTACAGTGAGTATTTTTTAATCTCATTTCCATTGTAAATTATTGGCCATAATAATGGGCCCCGAGTTTAAATTCCATCTAATAATCTTATCTCTGGTCAAACTTAACCCATTACCAAGTTTACAACTCGCAGCTCCCATTATTTCTCCAGCACTGATTAGAGGAGTAATGACTCGGAGTGATCACTGTCATGGAACTAAATTAATACCTCATCCGTTAGGCGAAGGACATCGCAAAGGTATCGTGGGCATCAGAGTTTTGACTCTGCGGGAATGATTAGCTCACGAACATGCGCAAGGCTGCCAGCACCACGCAGAGTCCCCCCACCGCCTCCGCGCCGCGTGGAAGCGGGTGCTTACCGGGGACGCGTGCGGAACAGTAATGCGCCCGCGTGCTTCCCACTTCGTGACGTAGTCCTTGAAAACACTGTTGTCTTTCTTCCTAGATGCTTATTGTTTCTTCTTTCTTTGCCATAATTCGACCAAGTCTTACCAGTCGCCGGGTGTTTTCAATGCCTTCCTTCTCTCCCCTGTGGGTACCACTGATCTCTTATGAGGTGTTGTGGCACCACTTGAGGTGCGCGGGTTGTGCGGGGTGGGTTCAGGTGACTCACTTTGGCTCTTTGCCCCATGAGTCTCTAGGGACTCAGTGTGCCCCAAGTACACAATTATTATTCCACCAGCTTCCAGGGAGTTCAGCAATTCAACTTCCAAAAGAGGCTCCAAAGACAATAAATCAGGCAGAGAATAAAGGCGGCCCAGTGGGTCTCACTGGCCCGAGGCAGGTGTTTAGGAAGGCCTGTGGCAGGAACATTTACTTCTGAGTGCGACCATGTTCCCAAAGCGCCCCCACCACGCAAGCCAATTTCAGAACAACGCAGACACTTGACAGCTATTGATTCCACTCCCTTCTTCAAACGTTTCCCGACTACCCGCTATATGCCAAGCACCACGCCGGGAACAGAAATGTGTTTAGAGAGAAGCAAAGCACCATTCTTTCCTTATAGATAATCCAGACACAAACCCAGAGGGCAGGGTTAACCTAGACCATACCCGCAGTGGAATTATCCTGCCTTGCTTGTTAATGTTATGAGGTTTCTCTCCAATGGTACAGCTTAGCTTTAGAAGATTCAAAAACTGGACATGACACCCGGCTGGTGTGGCTCAATAGTTGAGTGTTGACCCATGCACCAAGAGGTCACCAGTTCAATTCCCAGTCTGGGCACATGTCCAGGTTGTGGGCCCGATCTCCAGTGGGGGGCATGCAGGAAGTGGCTAATCGATGTTCTCTCTCATCGATGTTTCTGTCTCTCTCTCTCCCTCTCCCTTCCTCTCTCTCTAAAATCAATAAGGAGGAAAAAAAATGTTTCATTGGACATGACAAACTCCTGCTGCCATTACCATTAGCGGGTAGGACTGTCAATGAGCATGAGGCCTGCGCCTTGCACCCTGACCAGCGGCACCAAGCACAGGGCACCTCGATAGCTAAGTGCTTGGAAAAACGCAGCAAGGACTAAGTTGTTCCCAACCATGTGTTGCCAACCCTAACAGGAACCTGGGGTGCTGTAAGTGCCGAAGCCCACCTGGCGGGATAGCTTTTTTGAGACACAAAGCCTCACTCTTAAGAGGACAGCTTTGATCCAAAATGGGGCCCTGAAACTTCTCCAAACTCTCTGCATGAGTTTTCTCATCTCTAAACTAGCAGAGATGACAGTGCCTTTCTCAGTGGGGTTTGTAGAGGATTAGCTAAGTTAGTCTATAGAGAGTGCTAAGCACTAGTTTTGGGGTTGAAAGAATCAAGCCCAGCATCTTGGATGGCCCGTGAATGAAGCTATGTGCGCAAAGCCAGGCATGGGGTTCTGCCTGGCTGCCAGATGCTCTCCTGTGGAATGTAGCAGGTATACTTACCTTAGACTGTGGGGAAGTAAATGCGATAATGTAAGTTAAGCACCAAGGCTTAGCGGGTATTTAATTAAATCAGCCATCTCACACCTGGCTGCATATTCGAATCCCCTAAGGAGCTTCTTAGCATTATTATATCTTTTTAATTTTTTGTTTTAATATAGTTTTAGACTTACAGAAAAAGTTTCAAAAATAATACAGAGAGTCCTGGTATACCCTTCACCCAGCTTCGCCTAATGTTAATATTTTGCAGAATTATGGTCCAATTAGCAAAACTAAGAAAGTAACACCAGCCCTGGCCGGTTTGGCTCAGCGGTTGGAGTGTCAGCCTGTGGTCCAGAGAGACCCGTGTTCGCTTCCCGCGAAGGGCACGTACCTTAGTTGCAGTTTGTCCTCAGCCCTGGTTGGTTGTGCGGGTGGCAGCCACTTGATGTGTCCCTTTCACATCGATGTTTCTCTCTCTCTCCCTCCCACTCTATCTGAACAAAAAATAAAAACAGTGTCCTCGGGTGAGGATGAAAAAGAAAGAAAGTAACACCAGTACAATGCTCCTAGCTAAATTACAGACTTCGTTCAGGTTCCAGCAGGTTTCTTACCAATGTCCTGTACCTGCTCCAGGGCCCAGCCCTCCGTCCCCTCAGTCATGACAGTCCCTCAGCCTTTCCTTCTCTCTCACGGCTTTCGTGCTTTTGAAGAATTCTGGTCACTACTGCGAGATGCCCCTCACTTTGTATGTCTGTGATTAGACTGAGGCTGTGCATGACTGGGAAGGATATCACAGAAGCAATAAGCCCGCCTCAGCCTCTCGTATCAAGCAGTACACGATGTCAAAATGTCTTATTACTGGCCGCGTTAACCTTTATCACTGGGTTGAGGTGGTGTCTGCTGGGTTTACTCATGGTAAAGTTGCTGTTTTTCTCTCTGTCATTAAGAAGCATCTTGTGGGAAGATACTGTATGCAAATAACCTCTGTCTCCTATCCACATCCCCACTAATGTTCCAGCCATGGGGGCGTCTTGCCTGCACAGTCACTGTGCCCCTATAATGAGGATTTCCTTCCCCTTATTCTTTCTAGGTTTGTTAACTGGAATTCTTCTCTAAGGAAATGCCTTTTCAGCTCCCTCGTTGATTTAATTATTCAGTTGTTTATTGAGATCATCATGGACTCGTGGATATTTATTTTATTTTATGGGTTTTATAACCCAGTACTGCCATTATTTATTTTGATACTAAAATCTAAGGCACGTTTTAAAATACCCATGCCTGGGACCCTCTCCAAGTCATTTAAACCTGAATCTGTGGAGGTGGAACAGACAACAGTATTTCTTTAAAGCTCCCCGCGTGCAATAAGTGTTGGTTCTCTGCCTCTGCCCACCTGCTTCTTTCAAAAAGGAAAACACCTTCTTCACGTCGCTCTGCAGGATTAGTGCCCGCACCAGCCCTTGGCATGCTGATGACAGGCTGCAGCCTCCTGGGTAACTGGCTCGGTGATGACCATCCCACCCCCGCCCGCACACCGTCGCCCCTTCAGCTCCCCTGGCCCCACTGTGGACATTCTGCTGATATTTTTGTTGTTTTCACTGGGACCAGGTGAAGGAGGAAAAAGCCACAGCAGCCTTTAGAAAGTCAGGTTTGACCTTGAACTGTGAAGGGTTGTCTGAGAGGAGGGCAGGTCACAGCTCACAACCGGGGGTTTTGCTGGAGCTGCTCTGGTCTGCCCTCCGTCCCCAAAGCACATTTCTGCCATTTGGACAAAGTTTTAATGGATGCACACGACCCCCATTTATTTGGACACCTTTGAAATCAAGAATTAAATTTACCAAATATGTAAATTTAATTTTCCCTTTAGGTGATCAATATCGAGCCAGTTAAGGTTTCATTCAAAGAGATGGTCATCCTGAATGAGGAAATTGATCCCACAGCGTCCTTCAGCTGGTTTGCAATTTCCCTTTATTCCTAGGTGCCAGATCAATCTCATGATTACTTTTAGAAACCTAATTGTTTCTTCAGTCAGACCGAGGCCAAGAATATGTCCAAAACTTAGATGAATCAGATTCAAAGCCCAATCTGTACTGGAATAAAAGCTTAACCCCAGATATACCATGGCAGCATGAATTTGTCATGGTGCCTCAAATTATGCCACAATAATTTGGGGAGATTTGTCTCAGAAGATTCTATTTCTTTTCATTTATTCTTTTTTATAGTGGTAGTTCCAACTTAATTTTTTCATAGCATGTGTTTTATGTATAGAAAACACCTTCTATTAAAATGTTAAGGGGACCCCAATTTCTAGGGTAAGTAAATAAGGAATATCTGTAATAACTGGACAGGACAGCTGCTGATATTTCCCAGTAGGGCACACGCTACTGGCCAGCATGACTGGGGCACAGGGGACAGGCTGGGTGGGTTAGGAGAAGGCTCTGACTAGGAGTCAGCATACTCTTGGTACAACTAGAAGTCTCTGGACAATTTGGGAGTTAGAATGGGGAAGGGAAATGATCTGTTTTTATTTTACTGTTATCTCTAGAGATGCTTGTAGAAGCAGACTGTATGGGTGCAGGAGTAGGACTCTCCAGTTGGGTCTTTACAATAGATAATTTTTGAGTCCCGAACACTTGAACGTCCTACATACAGTACCCTTTGGCTGTCTCCATCTGATAATGATGCTTGCTACTTTTATTTCACAACCTCCAAACCTGTCCACTTGCTTATTGCTTCAACATTAGAAAAAACTATTTGTTGAAATTCATTTAACTTGAAAATATGATTTGTGTTTATCAGCTTATGAAAGATAACATCTTACCTCAATCAGTCAAAGGAATTTGTTCTGTTTTCTTCTTCTTCTTCTTCTTCTTTATTGCTTTAATCACTCATCTCCTTTTCCTCCTACAGGGATCCCAATCACCCTTCAGTCCCTTATCACTATTATGAACCCTTTGGACCAGATGAATGTACAATGTACCTCTCCCATGAGCGAGGGCGGAAGGGTAGTCATCACCGCTTTATCACAGAGAAACGAGTCTTTAAGAACTGGGCACGGACATTCAATATCCACTTCTTTCAACCAGACTGGAAACCAGAACCACTTGCTATGAATCATCTTGAGAATAAACCTGTGTTCTGAGGACTGAGCGTGCCGGACCGGACCCCACGCACCCGCTGTATCCGACGCCGGGCTGCTGGACTTCCTGAGCCCCCGGACACGGACACGGACACGGACACGGACACGGACACGGAGGAGCAGACTGGCAGGAAACAGCTCCGCTCCTCGAGCTGGACGCGGACGGGACGGACTGCACAGCAGGCGGCGGGCTGACCGGAGAGGCCAGAGCTGGTGTGTTCCGGTGAGAACACTCCTTCAGTGGTGCCCCGGGGCTAATGACGTTTCCAATCTCTTTAAGATTGCCTTCAAAACTGGAACATGAGCAACTCCACAGTGTTTATTCGTTGTATTCCTTTATAGAAATGCCATGTCAAAAGACATTTTTCTATCAAGTGCTACCCTGACCTGACCTATAACCTTTGCCATCTGTTGGCCCGTGTGTGTGTGTGTGTGTGTGTGTGTGTGTGTGTGCGTGTGTGGTTTGTAAAACACAGCCTGGACGTATGCACGCGGTTTCTGAGAGCACAGCTCCACTGACTTTCATAAAGCAAATGCCCGAGATTTATTTATTGAGAGTTTTGTAGTGTACTCTAGGCCAGTATTTTTATAGATTATTACGTGGTAACTTGTCCTTATCTTTATTTGGGTAATTTGTTCGAACCCTTGACTCCCAAGCGATGGTGGAAAAGGCCTGGCGTCGGGTTGTGAGCGCTGTGCTCACGGGCTCACTGTCCGTGCAGTGGAATTGCACTCGGAAATGTTGTCTTGCGTTTTCTGAACCCTTAGGCTTCGAGAATAGCGATAACATTTTCCAAGATGCAGAAGCGCTCCACATGACAAAATTGAAAACCAAAAACTGTCACTAACACAAAACGATACCAAGAAGAGGCATGTAAAGGTAGCTTTCTTCAGTGAGATTGATTAGGTCCCTTCACGGAAGCCCTAGTTACCTCTGCGGCAGAACCATGTCACTGTGCTAGGTGGCCTCTTACATTTCACCGCAAACCCCAAATTCTCTGAGCCCCTCGTTGAGCCCTTGGAGGACTTTGAACCTTGAAATGGTTGGGGCCCCCACATTAGCAGGAGCCTTGTTTTAGGGGGCCTTTTATATCCCTACTACCTATCTCCCTCTTGTGGTTAAAAACATATTTTCTCCCTGGTCCTCCCCATTAACTAAATCTACTCCTTTCTTTGAGAGAGAGAGAGAGAGAGAGAGAGAGAGAACTTCCACGGTGTTGCCTGGCTACAGAGCAAGGGACCGCCCTTCCGTGAGTCTGTGAGAAAGGAGAATGCAAGGCTATTCCCTACCACAGCACTCATTTATCCTGTGAACTATTTAGATTCGCTGCAAATCTTACATCCACTCCCATTCATTCCTTGGTGGGGAGGAATGCAGAGGACTTATTTTATTCAGAGCCAAGGTCAGTTGGTATGAAAGACTTTCACGTAAGCAAGCCACATTGTTCAAAAATCGTCTTTTAAAAAACATCACAGTGTTTTCTTTACCCACGACGTCGGAGGCATCGGTTTCTCTCATACCCCATGTGAAGGCACCAGCAAGTATCATGCATGAAGACTGGCAGTTTTACAGAACATGACCTGGCTTGTGATGAAAGAGGTGGTCTCACATTCCCAGTTGCCTTCCCCGTCCTCAGTTAGTACTGAGTCCGTGTCCCCGTACCCTCTGGGACTGTTGATTATCTGGAGGACGGCTGTGCTGTTGAGGCGCAGATGCTGGCTAGATACTTGCATAGCGAGACGAAGTGGTGTAGCCCGAGCTGCTCAAAGCCAGGGCAATGGCAGTGTCTGTTCAAAACGTCCTGGAGTGTGTTCTACAAATGTTCTCAGAACTGTCAAGATAATTTTATTCTAGTACAGTCTCTTCTGCAGCATGGACTCTGAATACACAATACTTTATGAACGTATGCAAAGTGTATAAACTTTAGGTAATTGACTTACAGGCCACCCTTACCATCACTTGAAGGGATTATGTTGTTCAGATATAAGTAGCTCCTTTAACTACTTATATTTTTATGGGAAATTAGAAAGGCATACTTGGGAAATGCAAACAAGTATGTATTCCTAATCTAATATCTCAAGTGTCTGTGTTACCTTCAACTTGTAGGGATGTTTATCAAAAGCCTTATGACGGCTTCATTCTTTCTTGTAACTCCTCCCTCTCAAATACCCAAAAGAATGAAAAGCAACCAAATTCTGAAATTTCTGGCTTCACTGGGAAATATTTCAAATATACATGTAGCTAGGACATGTGAGTATGTGTGTTTATATTTTTTAAAACATGGTATAAATAAATGTAAGAAACAATCGCCTGGGCAGTGGTTTTATTATAGCATTCAAAGAAAACGCCTACAATTCTGATCGACCGTGCTGATGGACCTGGTTGTGCGCAATTTAATTCTTAGATTGCCGCTGTTTCATAACTATCCATCCCAACACCATTCAACACCATTAAACTTCAACTCTGATAGAAACGGTGACTACAAAACCATGCTCACAGACCTCCGTGAGTTCAGGGTCTGATTGTGTTGGGAGCCTAAGTCATACTCCCTATGGTCCACACCCTCTTCTCTCCGCAGCTGAGCCACCAGCTTCCCCTCCAGTTAAGAGCACAGCAGTACAAAGCCACAGCTGGACGAGCCACGGCATCTGTTATTTCAACACAACAACGCTTGGCAGGGCCATTACAGTAGATAGCCGTGGTGGGCAAAGATACGGGAACTCACAAACAAAATCAATCACTTCAAATGGCCCATGAAAAGAGGAACTTACATTTAATATTCTGTAGTAAATATTCACCCAAGAAAGCGTGCAGGAAAAGAACGTTAGGAGGTGATACTGTGTGCTGCGTGGGGACTTGGTGCGTGACTGGCTCTGCGGCTGATGGGTGTGCTGATGGGAGTTTGGTGACGAATCCCGGTGCTTCACTGACCCTGGTATGTGCCCCTCAGGGCTCGACGGAAAACTGGAGCTGTTCATGGACTTCCCAAGATTGCAGAGTTAGCGTTGTTGCTTCAAAAAGACAAATGAAAGCAAAACACAAAGCACTGTCCCTAAAAGAGACGTTGTTAGTGTGTGGTCTCTCAAAGTCCTTGGGTTACTACTAGATAATACGTATTCAACCCCAAACGCTTCTCAAGATAGATTACCTTTGTTTTCTGAAATTCTCTTCATTACTGATCTATTTGAATTACAATTAAATGGAAGGATATAACCTCAGTTTGAAACCAAAACCCCCCTCAAAGATTAAAAATATTGATCTAGAAGCTACCCGAATGCCAAATGAAAGTGGAAGGAAAAGCTGAAATTCTGTTAGGACTAAAACAGTATTATTTAAACACTTAAGTACCTATTATAATAGACCCAAAGACTTGCCCTCAGGTGGGCATGACCTTGTCTCAGACACGTACCCTAGATTCCACGGGGTGATGATTCAGATGGCCCGACAGACCTACTCTGAGGGCAGGGTCTGTGTCCCCACCCTCTCTCTGCATTCTTAGGTGATGTTAATTTGCCTGCATATTTCATACCTGCTCCAATTTCTTCTTCCATCCTCACTCCGTCTCTCTTGAACCTCATTTTGTCTTGCTATCCTTCTCTCCTGATTGTCTTATTGTGCCTACAGTGTGCTCTTGAACCAGCAGTCTTCGGGGGCTATTAAGTTCTTCCTTGTAGGTTAAATTAGAGACCTATCCGGGGAACAGACTTGGGGTGGGTCCTGCCAGAGCCATGATCTTATAGGTGAGAGGATTACGTCTGGCTACAGGTCAAGGCTCTTTAGAAACACCATCCTGGTCTCCCCAGGCCCAGGAGGAGAGGAGAGGGGAGAGTTCCAAGACATGGACAGTCCCAGGCACCCTGTCGAAGGGCCACCTCAAGGAGAACTATGATGCTGAGGCCTTGGAGGGAATGTGAACCCAGGCTCTAACACAAGCCAGAAGATAATTTGGAATGGAGAGAGGTGTCATGTCCACATGCCTCAAACACGAACAGGAGTGACCCCTCTATTGCAGTTCACTGGTCCCCAGCTCCGGGTGTGGAGCCGCCACAGAGATGCGAACAAACGGCTGCACCCTGTTGGTGGCTGCGCAGAGCCCTAATGTTACGTGCTCCTTGGGCGGTTCTCTGCCTTTATGTGTGTGTCCTGTTAGTCTGAGACTGTAAGTCTTTAAGAGCAGACACTGTTTCTCTTTTTCCTATGTAGCCCCATGCCCAGCACAGTGCCTTGCATGCAACAGGCACTCAATAAATGTCTGTTTTCAGCCCTGGCCAGTGTGCTCAGTGGTTAGAGCACTGGCCCGCACACCAAAGGGTCTCGGATTCTATTCCAGGTCAAGGACCCGTACCTGGGTTGCAGGTTCAATCCCCAGCCCCAGTCAGGGCAAATGTGGGAGGCAATCAATTGACGTGTCTCTGTCACGCTGATGTTTATCTCTGTCATTTTCTCTCTCTTTTCCCCTTCCTCCCTCCCTTCCTTCTACTCTTTCTAAAAATCAGTGGAAAAAATATCCTCAGGTGAGGATTAACAAGGTAAATAAATAAATGTCTGTTGATGATAACCTTTAAATGTTGACCTACTGGGTTGGTAATTGATATATATTCTTCCACTTAAGAGGTACAGGAGACAGAATAGGTGATAACGTCATTAAATTTTAAATGGTGTTTATAAGGTCAGTCCTTGAACTTATCATGTTTTAATCAGCAGAGCTGACCTAGCTTCGGGTAGAATAATGTTGCTGAGCTCGTTGGGTTTGCTCGTGCTGACTGTACTGAACACACAGGTGAAGGGAAGCTCGGCGGTCCGTGTCCTCGCGTGAGTGGCACAGATTGAAGGTAATACTGATGCTGTGGCACAGGCAGGGGCAGAGGGGCAGCCTGGGCTCTGATTCTGTGGCTCCAATGGGACGAGCTGTAGACGGCCTTGAACTTGACAGCTTCCACAAGCTGCGGGAAGGCCAACTGGTGGTTACTGAGAGTCTATAAAAGCTAAGTATACATTTATCTTAAAAACAAAATAAAACCAGAAAAGCAAAACCCTTGTGTTTCTATGAAGCAATCCAAAATGGTTTCATCTCTACCTGAATGAGACGGGGAAGGAAGAACTCGGGGGAAGAGGTGGAGCATCCCAGGCTCCTGAGTTACCACCCGGTCAGCACCTGCTGGCGTTACCTGCAGGTTACCTGTGAGGGCAGGATGGCATCAAGCCATTCAAGGGACCGCAGTCACTGCTGTCCTGAGCATGGAGCCCTGTCTCTCACTGTCCGCTCTCCCACAGAATTACCTGCGATATCTCGATTTCATTATTTTCAAGTGTAGGAAAAAGCACTAGAAGATACAACATTAAACTGAGAAAAGTGCTTATTTCTGGATGGATAGGATTAGAGATTT